AGCTAACAGAGTTAGTATCTAAGCTAACAGAGTTAGTATCTAAGCTAACAGTTTCAGCTAACAGTATCTAACAGTGGGTCTTTATTTTCCAGCTGAAGATAAAAATGCTCAGCGGCATCTTTCCGGCTGGGCGATGAGAAACACCAACAACCACAACTGTCAGATCCTGAAGAAGTCATGTCTCGGGGTGGTGGTCTGTTCTCGAGGCTGCACGCTACCTGATGGGTCCAGACTGCAGCTCCGCCCCGCCATCTGCGACAAGGCCCGGCAGAAGCAGCAAAGTAAGAAAGACTGAAACCAGAACCAGATGTGAACTGAAGCAGATGTGAACTGAAGCAGATGTGAACTGATGTGAACTGAAGCAGATGTGAACTGAAGCAGATGTGAACTGATGTGAACTGAAGCAGATGTGAACTGAAGCAGATGTGAACTGAAGCCTCCTGTGCTGCTGCTTCACTGACGGACTCTGTGTGTTTCAGAGAAACTGTGTCCGAGCTGTAACGCTGCTCTGGAGTTGTTGCCATGTCGCGGTCACAGCGGTTACCCCGTCACCAACTTCTGGAGAGTGGACGGAAAAGCCATCTTCTTCCAGGTCTGCATCCTAACACCCCCCCCACCCCCCCCCCACACACACACACACACACACACACACATGCTAACAGAGCTTAGCATTCCAACTAAGCTAACAAGCTATTAGACTTCTTGCCTGTGAAGTCAGAAGTCCAGATCTAAACCAGAGTCTGGACACCTCAATAGTTGAACCTGATCCAACAGGTTTGTGCCAGGTCCTGGTTCTGAACGGGTCTAAGCTCAGCACTAGTTGTTTCTTCTGTAGCTGATCATGTCGTCCACTGTATTCATGTTGTGTTGGTTGTCTTTCAGGCTAAAGGGGTCCACGATCACCCCAGACCTGAGTCCAAGTCCGAGACTGAAGCTAGAAGAAGTTCAGTGAAGAGACGAGTCAGTTCACCTCCTTTCACACCCAAGAGACGACTGATTGAAACACAGGTTGACGATAACAACAATAACAATAACAACAACAGCTGTTTGTGAATGTTGTTGTTTATTGTTTATTATTTGTTGTTTTCCTGCTTAAGGCTCTAGGCCCCGCCCTCCTCTCCTGTGTCGAACCAGCAGACAGAATCTCCTTCATAGAACCAAACTTTCCTCAGCATTACCCAGCATTCCAGGGCCCAGAGCCCTACTACAACCCCCACAATGCACTGGGAGAAGCCCCACCCACACTGCAGAAACCAGCCAATCCCAGGCTTTACATGGGCCGGCCTGGCTACGAGTTCCAAGGGTACCTGACATCCCCTTCGTATCCAGTGACCACTGACCTCTGTGACCCCAGGTCAGCCTCACATACATCCAAACCATATCCTGAACCAGTTTCAATCCTGGACCAGATACTGTCAGTGTGAACACATTTGACCAAAATACCTAAACAATTTTATGTTTTTTAAGATTAAATCTAATTCTGAATGGAGGAAAACTGGTGCAACCTAGAATCCAGATTTGTACTCTCGAACAGGTCTGGGAAATGAAAACAAGTGTTAAACATGCTCCGATTCTTTGAATGTGTCTAAACTGAACCTAAACATTGTGAGAGAGAACAGGTTAAAACCAGATTGTAGAACCAAGCAAAAACAGTATGAACCAGATCTGATCACCCTGAGACCAGGTTCTGTCAGACAAGGTCTAAACTGGATTCTGACACCTTGACAGTCTAAACAGACTTAAAACAGATTGTGTTCTGTGTGCAGGGTGGCTCCAGTCCTGGGATCCTCCTCATCTTCATCGGCAGCTCCTCTGTCCTCCTCTTCCTCGACCTTTGACCCTCAGACCAAACATCCTCCAGGCTGGAAGGAGCTGCTGAAGAGCTCCGCTCCCTACGGAGACAACCACCATTACTACAGTGCTGAGTACCCCTGTCGTTACCCCAGCAACGCCCCAGGGTCCCCCGCAGCGCTGCAGACAATCATCACCACGACAACCAAGGTGAGCTGGGATATGAGGGTCCGCCGGATCTTAGATCTGGTTTGTGAGCCAATGAGAAGACAGAAGGGTGGAGAGTCCAGGGCCGTCAGGTCGAGGTCACGTCTCTTGGTGTGTCACATATTTTATTGTCCCACAGAGAAACATTTTAAACTGAAGCTGCATCGCTTCCTCTACTTTTCCCAGACATGTGACGACACAGTTCACACCTGGAGACGTTACGCTCAGAGCTGTCAGGTTTTCAGTTTATAGTTTATATTATAATATGAAAATGTAACGGTCAAGAGACAATAACCACTTTAACCCTTCCTGTCCCAATCACACTGTTCCTGATCCTCTTCAGGTTTCCTATCAGCCGTGTCCGAAGCCTCCTGCGACGCTCCCTCCCTACCAGACGTGTCCCAAACCTCCGGCAGGCCTACCGTCCTATCAGCCGTGTGCTCCGCCCAAACCCGGCCTCCCCGGCTGCTCATCGCTGATGGAGGATGCCGCCTCCTCCTCATTGTACTCCACTGAGGTGAAGGTGACGGAGGAATCTGGAGGAGTCATCAAGTCTCTGTCATTTCAGCCTGAACCTCTGCAGACCAAAACAGAGCGGGCAGATGGTTACGACTACCGCTACGCCTACCCCAACACGTACCGCTACGACGAATACTGACGCAGCTCTACCTCCACCTCTGTTAGCGCGGTGACTTCAGTACAACTGCTTCTGTTACTGCAGACGATCCAAATGAACTTTAGACAGAGCAACTGATGTGGATCATCAGGACAAAGATTTGTGCAAACATTTGTGTTTTTCCGTTCTCAGAGGAAAATAAATTTTTATCTCGGACACCTCAGCCTCCCTCTTGCGCCCTCTTCAGGATAACGAGTGTAACTTTTGTACACAACATTTCATGAATTTAAAAACGGCCTCAACACAAAGTGTTTCTGTGTCGTGTTTTTCCTCAGTGAGTTCAGAAGCTCAGTGAAGTGAGGAAGACCATGATATTGGCTGAAAGCCTCAGAAACACCGATGAATGCAGTTTGTTCAAAGCTTCAGTCTCAATTAAAGTGAAATCGTTAAGTTTTTATTCTAACAAATGTCAGGTTGTTACAGACGACTGTTTGTGTTGTTGAGTTATTTATTGTCAGAAACATGAAGCAGACTGAGCTGATGATGATGTGATGTGTTATTTTCTCCATCTGACTCAAATAAACATGACATGAAGAGAAAGAACGTTTCCTGCTGTTTAATACACTGAGACTATTTATATAAATGAAGTTTATCAAACAAACGTCTGACATTGAGAGGCAACATTAACCTGGATATCAGCGTATCACATTCACACCTTTTTAGTTAGGTCCATGTCCCATCTACTAGCATGGAGGAGGAGGGTTCATGACTTTATGCAGGTTCAGTATCTTATCGGAATTTTGTTGTCCATAGAAAGGTGTCAAGATGAACATATGAGTGTCGTCATGCCAATTACATGTGACATCTGCATCTCCACGACCTTTTCATCTGCGGTCCAGAGTCAGAGACCGTCATGCAGCTGTTTTACCTCAGGAACAAGTTTCTCTGTTCAAGCTTCTGAAAACATGAATGTGAATAATCAGACTGAGGAAGAACCTGCTTCTGTTTTTATTCAGATTAAACTGACGTTATAGAAAACAAACGTCCTCAGGTGCAGCAGAGTCTTCACCTGGGTCCAGAGCCTCAGAGTGAGAACCCGGCAGCCGACCATCAAAGAGCTGGTGTTTGGACGTCGGCTGGTTTCAGTGTGGATGAGTAATAAATGTTGTTTTGACAAGAACGCGTCAGGACAGGAATCACTGCACTGTCCTCACTGTGAACCTGTGGAACCCTCACCCCGCCTCCTCCTTCTCTGCAACCTCCCCCTTTCTCCTCCACCCGCCTCCTCCCCCTCCTCTCTTTCACTACCTTCCATTACAATCACTCATTCCTCTCCTCTTGTCCTCCTCTCACTCGTTACCTTCTCTTCAGTTTATACTAACTTCCGTAAGTACATGATTCTGTTCTGACTGAACCTCCCAACAACCTCATCTGATCACACCTGCACAGGTCATTCACATAGGTGAGCATCCGGGTGAACGGCCAGGTGAGTGACCAGGTGAGAGTCCAGGTGAAAGTCCAGATGAGTGACCAGGTGAGAGTCCAGGTGAGTGACCAGGTGAGTGTCCAGGTGAGAGTCCAGGTGAGTGTCCAGGTGAGAGTCCAGGTGAGTG